AAAATAAAATACAGCAAAACCTTCCAACTAAAATTAAAGTGTATCTTAGGATCCGTCCACCGCAGAGAAAAATAAGAGTGGCTTCTGTATTCTACCTCTAAGCAGAATCAAGCCGCTCACTCGCTAGTGGCATGGAAGAGACAAACTAAATTTAGTCGGGGAACGCTGCTCTAAGCTGTCTGGAATTTTTATACCATAAATCAGTTTTATAACAATCGCTGGTGAAGCTTCTTCTTCCGTTATTTTTTTTTTTTTTAATGCGGGTGTGCCGACAAGATACAGCAAATATTTGGTGTCTTCAGGCCGAACAATCTCGGTATTCAATGAGATGCTGCTTCTATCCATTCCTGTCGTTCATTGCATTTGGAAGCTCATCTACTCTGCATCCTGTGTCTTTAAGCAGATGATCAATGTTTACCTTCTTTGGTCGACCTTGTGCTTTTTTTTTCCACGGGATGGTATCCAGAATAGAACGTCTCCGGCTAGTTTCTATTTGCTACGCTAACAGGGACCAGCAAATCTTAGAAGCAATTAACAGATCCTGGAAAGATCACGCAATAAAAAAGAGCTCTATAGCAATATGCCCTCTATTAGCAAATCAATACGCAAATATATATATATATATATATATATATATATATATATATATATATATATATATATATATATATATATATATAATATATATAATTATATATATATATATATATATATATATATATATATATATATATATATATATATAATGTCATCCACAGACAGACTGTTTCGCAGTTCTTCAGTGTGGCTAGATGTCCGGTTGTCTCTAGTTAGTATCGTCAGTCGGAGATTCACTAAGCCGTCGGCGCACGACGGGGATGAAGGTGAATTTTAGCGTATTTATTTTTAGATAAACACACACTGACCGACAGGGCTCAATTCGCTTTTGCCGAAGAGTTTCGCTATCTCAGCCGTAATAGTCACTGTTTACAAACCCACATTTCCTCCCCAGAGAGCTCAACCGAAATTAATTTTTCCAGGGCCTATATAATGTCATCCACAGACAGATTGTTTTGCTGTTTCACAGCTCTTCAGTGTGGCATCATCATCATCATCATCATCATCATCGCCACCACCATCAGGTCGAGCAAGCTCGGCATTCCATGACACACTGCTTCCATTCAATCCTGTCGTTCACTGCATTTGGAATCTCAACCAGTCTTTATCCCCTATTTTGGATCAGATGGTCAATATAAATCTTCATTGGTCAATCTTGTGATCTTTTTTTCCCCACGAGATGACATCCAGAATAGAACGTCTCCAGTTAATTCTTCTTTGCTACGCCAACAGTGACCAGCAAATCTTAATCTCTGTTGCCATATTAATTTGTTGATGGGAGATATGTTGCCAGAGAACCCTTTTTTTGTGGGTCAAATAATCCAGGTATTTGTTTAGTGCTGGTCGAACAGCATCGAGATTCTTTTCAAGTTAAGGAGCAATATTCAAGGACTGTCCCTATTGTAGCTCTGAAAAAGTTTCTCTTCAGTTTTTTTCTATTGGATTTGATTTCAAGATATTGTTCATCCAGTCGGTTCTCAATCGTTTCCCAGTCTGATGTTGATACCTTTCTCTGTGGAGGCAATATAGCTACCCAGGTATTTGAAGGCGTCTACTTGCTTGATATCCTTTCCGTTCGGATTTTTCATGCCTGTCGATGTGTCTTGATTCGGGCAGATGAACTCATTGACATACATTCCAATCTTGCTATATATATATATATATATAAATCGATTCTCCCGTCGGGTTCGACGTATGAAGTTCAAGCAGATCAGTTTCCAGGAAACTGACAGCCCGACACCGGCACATAAGATTCGATTAGAGTGGTGAAGGTTTCGTGCAGGACCATCCACACTTTTTGAAGGGACGAATACAGAGATCTGGTGCACTAAGTGCCACAAG